ATGGGCATTTTTGCAACCACGCGGTTCTCTCCTCGGCTTACTTCCTTGAATAAGACGCCCTTCAATTTTTAGCGTAAGGATTTTAGAAAAAACTATCGTCTTATAGTCGGAAAAATACGGTACATCAAGTGCTATGTTTTCATTCCAGATTTAAATATTGTTTCACTCCAGATTTAAATATTGTTAAATATCTTTTTTCTCTCCTATGGAGTAACATCAAATATTTCATTATATTTTGCATATCTGTAGCATTTCTGTTAGGTCAAATATAATAACAGTCTATTAATATCATATATGCTTTTGACAGTAATATCCATCCAAAAGGGTGGCTATATTGGTGTAGAGAGTAAGAAAGATGATCTTGATGGAGATATGCAGGAACTATTATTTAGACAAAAGGGTCTGAAATATTTTTTTTTTGTTTTAATCCAGAGCAGTGAGATAAATTTGGAAGCAGCTTATGCAGACACCTTTCTTAATTCACTGGGATATAAAAAGGAAGGGAAGGATAGCACAATCATACCTGCAAGATTCTGTTATAGCCAATCTCAGTAAAAGTAGTTTTAGCCTTCATGTGGAGTTGATTTTCTGGTCTACCTAGTGGTGCTCACATGGTTGTCTTGGGGCAACCTTCAAGACTTAAACATTTATTGTTGATAAGCTTCCATGGAGCATAGTCTGCTTTGCTTCCAGAAATAATTATAATGACAAAAGTATTAACAGTGTGTGATTGAAGTTCATATACATTTAACATAATGCCTCATCATGCACTTCTAAGTGGCTGTTGAATAAGGTTTTTGTATACATAATTACTATACAAGGAAAGTATTTTTTGTTTTAATGTCTGCCACTTTTTATTTAAATGCTAAGATACACCTTGATTCTCTATCATCATGTGCCTGTGGAATTAATATTTATCTTAGTTTTTACTATTGTTCTCTAATATCATCTTTATTTGTATTAAATAATTATTAACAGTTGTATGCATTGGAGTAATATATTTGGTACTGCTTATATATCATTTGGAACTTACTATTGAATGACTTTTCATTGAAATTACAACATTGGAAGGATAAATCTACTAGCAACAATGTTGATATTTATTTTCTATTAATATTTGGAACTAGTCCTTTTTTGACAATGGGACAAGAAAGAATTTTTAGTCAGTTCAGTCAACAAGCCTCTTGATAGATTAGGCACTGAACGGTGCCAACTATGGCAGTCCTCTAATAGCATCAGTCCCAACAGGCAGACTAGACACCAAGCTTCAGCAGTTGCCCAATAGCCTTTGCTCCAGCTGTGACAGTAGCTAGCAACCCTCCAAGGGCCAGGTTTGTCTCAGAGGCCAAGGAAGGTGATACAGAAACATTCAAACCTCTCAGGACATAGCAAGGTTATGTGAATTAGTTTTTCCTTCTGTCTTTCACCAGAATGGAAGCAGTAGAACTGAGGAGTGCCAGAATGTAGCAATATGTAAGAGAAATGGGTTTGAGCCCCAGTAGAACAGCGAAGACCCAGGGCAGCCTAACAGCATGGTGGTTCAGGATTCTGAGGAGGAACAGGCTGTGATTGAGTCCAGTCTATCCACAGAGAACATGGAAGTTTCAGCCCTATCCCTCCTTGAGTGGAGTAGTCTCTAGAGCTGAGTTGTACAGAATATTAAATCAGCTCATTCCAAAACAAGCAGGAAGAGATTGGAAACAGTCATCTTTACTTTCAGAAGCTCATTAAGCAGATCCTACCTTTCTCTGTCATCTGTTTACTTGAACCTAGTTTTACCTCTTTTGACATGCTCATGTGAAAAAAAGAAGATACCCAAACAGGCACAAAGAAAAGAGATTCAGAAAGGAGATGGACATCTATCCTGACAACATTAGAGACAAAGGGACTGAAAGAATATCTCATGCTCAGGATCCTCAGCTTTCATTGTACTGAGTAATGAGGAATCATAATATTTTTCAGGCTGTTTCCTAGAAAGCTGGATTGGAACAGATATACAGGAACACAAGGATATAAAAATGGCAGATTTACTGTGGAAATGCTGAGAAGCCATTATGAAAGAATTCTAGCAACTGCAGGGTACCAAATATGAGTTCTGTTCATATTGCAATGTTCAAATTTGTGTATTTCCTTCTTCTGCCTATTCTATGAAGCTATTCACTTGGCCAGGAGAAACAATTGCTCCTTGTTTTGATACTAGATATGGTATCAGGCAGTTTACTTCTCACTATTTGAAAACCAGCTCTTATACCAGTCAAGGAAGTCAAAGATGGGGCAATGTGACACATCTGAGACCAAATCCACTGGGGTTTGGATTGAGAGCAAAGTTTGCCTTCACATGATGCCTTTGCACAATTAACACCCTCACATCAGAGGTTGTTTAGTGTTCATTTATTTCCAGTGATATTTCTTAAGTCAGCAAAGTCATTAGATCTCTTCCTCAGCAAATGTACAACCAGTACTCCAAGGAATGAAATGAATCCAGAAAGAAGAACTGTGCATCAGGACTGCAGCCATCCTTTCCGTCATCACCTGACTTTAGTAATATGGGCATGAGAAGTGTTTGAAAATACTGTACTTAACACTTCTATTATTATATAATTCCCTATGAACTAAGTTTAATATTTTTTTATTCAGCACTTTATTCAGTACCAGAAATAGTTTAATTTTAAGAACTTTTATCCTTCCTAACCCTCAGCTGTGCATGGCATCTACAACTACTCAATCTTGGCTGATTTTAAACAAGCTAAACAAGATGGGAAATTATCAGAGTTTGGTTGGGAGACTACAGGTAGTCCTTGCGTAATGACGGTAATTGGGACTGGAATTTCTGTTGCTAAATGATGTCATAATGTGTGATATCACATGACTGCATCACTTAGCAACAGCAATCCTGGCAGTCCCCATTGCTGTCGTTAAGCAAGGACCTCACATGACCACAATTTGTGACTTCCTGATGGCTTCCAACAAGCAAAGTCAATGGGGAAGCTGGCAGGAAGGTACAGTACAAGTCCCTGTCACAACAAGCATTTCCTTAGGTGGGTTGCCAGGTTAGGGTGGATGCTGTGGCACGGCACAAGTGTGGGCGGGTGGGGCTGCTATGGCCTGGTGCAAGTGCAGGCAGGCCATCCGGGAACTTCTTAGATGAAAATGGCAGGAGTGACTTGCGATCTCCTCCCGGCTTCCTCATTGACTTTGTTTGTGGGAAGCCAGCAGGGAAGGTTGCAGATGGCAATCACATGACCGCAGGACACTGCAGCTGTTGTAAGTGCAAGCTGGTTGCCAAGTACCTGAATCATGATCACGTGACCATGGGGATGTTCTAACAGTTGCAATTTCGAAGACCAGTCATAAGTCCCCCTCATTCAACACTATCATAACTTTGAACAGTCACTGAATAAATGGTCATAAACTGAGGGCTACCTGTACCAGGAAATTCCAGAGCTATAGGCTATAGTAGGTAGGATGAGGGCAGTAGCAAACAACTTATGAATTGTTGCCAAGAACATATATATCCATGAAGTCAACTACAGGCAAGCTCAGTTCAAAAGAGACTTGACATGTTTTTATTCTCCCTAAGGGGGGATGGTTCACTTTGCCTAGCAACACTTCTCTTTTGGAATATATATAGTTTCATTTATTTGTAAGGATTTTTAAAAATAATTTCTATTAAACTAGTGAAATACAAAAGAAAAACTATACATTGAATGTGATAACACAGTGGGGGGGGGGACTAATTATAATGGTTAAATAAATAAAACTCCATATGGTAAGTATAAAAATCCATATGACACATATTAGTGAAGAAAGCCTAATGCAAAATCTCTGCACAAGCCCCACACCCTCTTATGTATTTTGTATCTTTCCTTGTATTCTCTAGTAAAACTTCAGTTTTTTCTTTGCAAGTACTGACTGGGAAAAGCAAGTGAGGGTGAGCAGTGAAGTCTGCGAAAGTGTTCAGTCGTGATGGATTTGTGGTGTAGACTTATTCCTGCTCCTCATTCAGATGAACAGACTAACTAAAAACCGCACCTATGCCTTTTTGCTTACTTTGCCCATTCCAGAAAGCCTCACGAACGGCCAGCAACTTTGTAAAAATGAAGGACTCCCCTGGAGCATGTGGCAGAGTGCTGGTGGCTGCAGAGGGCGTAGGCTTTTAAGCCTTTAGTGAGGCTGGGGGCCACCCACAACCTTGGCTGGCCATGCTTGTGGCTCAGGAATCCACCAGGGTCCTGAAGGGCTGCTGACCCTTACACTGTGCAAAAGGAACCTGGCTGCTTAGGTATCCCACATGTGGCAGTGCCTGAGCACCTTTATGAATGGACATCCCCACAGGTCCATTTTTCAGGAATGCTTCCAACAGGAGCCTGCATCCCTCCACTCCCTCTAGCGACTTTCTGTAGTCTCCTAGCTAATGTTGCTGTTAATATTTTACTATCCACTGTATTTGTCAGTTTCTTGAAAGATGATACATTTCTGTAGAAGAGAAATTACAATTAAAGGTGAATTTCATGAAGTTGGAAGCTGTTCCACATGTTCTATTTAGAAAAGTTAAAGTATTTATGATTTCTTTGTATTTTTTCTGTAGTTGAACCAACTGTGAGTTTAACAAAGGGACCAAATGCTTTAATAGATGGTGCCAATCAGACAGTTGCAGCCATTTGTACAGCAGCCACTGGAAAACCAGCTGCAGAAGTTGTCTGGGAAGGTGGTCTTGGTGAAATGGAATCCACTTCAACTTCATTTCCAAATGAAACAGTCACAGTGCAGAGTCAATACAAGCTTGTTCCTACCCGGTTTGCTAGAGGAAGACGTATAACCTGTATTGTGAAACACCCAGCATTAGAGAAGGAGATAAGAATGCTTTATGTGCTCGATATTCAGTGTAAGTAATGATATACTCTATATCATTGGTGGACATATCTTTTGATGGGTGTGGCCTATACCTATATTTTTTGCACAGACACGGACTATAGTACCTGGTCATGTTACAGTGGGTATGAGCAAAATTTCCTATTTTTTTCTTGATTTGAGGCAATATAATCCACACACACAAACCTGTTGCTTTCATGTTTCATGAATCAAAATTATGGTGACCATTCTTCTGATGTTCGGCAATTATAGTTCAGAGAGGGCTTCAAGCGCTGTAAAATGGAGGTCTGGTATTTTGGGGCCTCAGCTTGCCCACTCCTGCTTATTACTTTTCTTTCTGTAAAACTGTTTCAAGTTATGAATGTTAGGATAGTCTTACATGGAATATTTCAATTTAGGCATCTTCAAATGGCTCTGAAAGGTATTAAAACACCATTATTGTTGTTGGTCTCACAGTTAGCCAGATGTTTAGACATTTTTATCCACCTATCAGATCCTTCCCAAGGACCTGGGATAGGCAGATGTTGTTTGATGGTGTTAAAGGTATCGTCGC